CTTTACAATGAGAAAAGCGAAGCCCAGAGAGGGTGACTGACTTGCCCAGAGCCACACAGGACACCTGGTGTCCAGGTAAGGATCTTTCCATTGTACCTTACAGCTTCTCAGGAGTGTCAGAAGGGGTTGGTCTGTGGAAGGCTGACTAGCAGGTAAAAGGGCCTGACCCTTACCCATGCGCACGTACCTCTGTGCCATGGCATACATACGGGTAAGCTGCCTGGCATGAGAGCAGATCTAGGCACCATCACACCACTGACACTTCAGGACCTGATTATTGTCCTCGTGGGTAGGCAGACATGTGTTTGAGGGCCAGTGGGGGAGACTTCCTCAGGGCTACCTCCGCTGAGCTGCTCTTCCTGGAAGAGAGAAGAGCCTGGCTTCCACATACCAGGTCTGAGCATACAATCTCCAGGTGACAAAGGCCTCCAGGGTTATAGCCACTTCTCCCACTGCACTGGACAGAAGCCCCCTAAATCCAATGAGCCCCTCTACACAAGCTCTACTCCCCAACAGCTCCAGCCCATAGTTTCCCTGACCCCCCCCCCCCACACCCAGACCTGGTTACACACACCTATGCCCAGACTCTGCCTGCAGATCCACACAACCACGGATCTTGCTGCTGAAAGAGGATCTCAGACTAGTTGCTTAAACTGCCCTCCCTCAGACAGGTTGAGAATGATGTGGGCTTTAAAGTGGGTAACTGAGGGCCTGAGAAACAGTGACTTACTGAAGTAGACACAGAGGGGACTAGAACTCGACGTTCTCCCCTCTCACCACACCCCACTGCCTCTTTCTAGGGACCTGGACTCACCAGGGGCCTTGCTGGAACCACCACAACCAACAGCTTAGAACATCACCTTTCTCACCTCTAATTCCTCCCCAGAATAATAATAGTTAATCTTTAAGGAACACTTTCTATGTGCCCTGTACCTGCTAAGACCTTTACACATATTATCCTGGTCATCCTCACAAGATTTCTCCTTGGTAAGTATTATTTCCCCATTCTAAAGATGAGGAAACTGAGACTCGTGGCCTCCTTAGCCCACCCTCTTAGCCACCGTTGGGCCTGCTCAGTCAGGATGGCTTCAGGCTGGGAGGGAGGCCATCCTGGCTTTTCGAGAACCCAGCCAGCATTGAAACGAGCTGGACCTCATCCTAAACTAGTGGTCAATACCCAGAACTAACAATAATACTTAATGAGCATTTCCTAGATGCCAGGCCTGTGCCAGGTGCTTTACAACCATCACCTCGTTTAATCCTCCAACAGTCCCGATAGGCTGATGGGATTATGTCCATTTTTTAAAGATGAGGGCACAGAGGTCAAGAGGGTTAAGTAACTCGTGCTAAGGACACATGATCAAGGAGTGTCAGAGATGGGGTTCAAACCCACCTTGCTCTGGCCCTGAAGCCCATGTGCTTCTGACTTCACTATGCTGCCAAAGACCCCCCACCAGTGATTATGACACAGGAGCGGGTTCTCCTCCAGCACCTGGGGACCAGCAGCGTCAGCATCCCCTGGGCTTCTGTTAGATATGCAGAACCCCCCTTGGCCTAGACCTACTGATTCAAAATCTGAATTGTATCAAGATCCCCAGGTAATTCACAGGCACAATAAAGTTTGGGGAAGTCCTGCTCTAGGTCCCATAGCTCTTCACTCCAGTTCCCCAAGGGGCCTGACACCAAGAATTGAGGCCCGGAAGTAAAGGGCAGAAACTGAGGGCTCCTGCCTGAGGGGAGCAGGGGAGCTGGGAGAGGATCCCCCATTTATCACCCCTCCTGTAGGTAGCCACCCCTCTTTGAGTCATCCAGGCACACAGAACTCAACAGGTATGAGTCAATGCACATGTTCCCCTGGGTCAGGTGACCCCTGTGCCCTCTCTAGAACCCTCCAGAGGGATGGCAGAGGGCCTCACAGGGTCTCACAGCCCAGCTTCAGCCGATACCCAAAGGCTTGGGAGGATCCCCAGGCCCCCTCAGGAAGGGGTTAAAAAAGAACAAGTCACACTCGGGCTCCAATAATTCCACTCCCTGATAGATTTCCCTGGAGTGCTCCCTGCCCGAATCCCAGTGAGGGAGGACGCTGGAGGCTGGGAGCAGACTTGGGCAGTTTGCTTGTGTTAGCCATGTCAGTGCAGCTGCCTTTAAATGAAGATGGAAGTACTGGCTCCCACTACTGAGCACCCTTCCACGTGCCAGGCAAAGTGTGGGGTGTGCCAGTCCCCACAGCCATCTCACAGAGTAGGGTGCACATTTTACAGGTGCGGAAACTGGGCCATGGAGAGGCTGACCTGTCCAGGGTTTCCCTCTTAACAAGTGTCTCAATTTTCAACCCCCAAACAATAAGCACATGGAACAGCAAGGCGGAGAGAACAGACATGCTAGGACCCTGACCCACTCCATCCTAAAAGGGAGATACTTGGAGCTGAAGCCCCCAAGGAATCAGCCTGTAGTTCAGCCCACTCTGGTCAGGCCAACTTTCAAAGCAGTGTCTGAGCCCACGGGGATGGGAGGGGGGTATTCCCAGGGGTCAGCCCGGATGTCTCAGCACACCTGCCCACATAGACCTGGGCCCCATCTGCTTCACTGGGTTAGTCCTCTGGGTGGACTGTGTAAGGGGTGCTTAGCATGCCCCTCCCCGTCAGCCCCTGTGAAGTAGGCAGAGTGGGGCGTCAGAGGTCTCCTCACACCTTTTCAGCACAGCACCCTCCCAGGCCGCACCACACCTGTAGTGCCTGCAGGTATATGGGCAGGGAGTTATTCCCAAAGGAGGAAACCTAGGCAGCTAAGCAGCTCTGGAGGTTTCTAGGGACATCCGCCTGTGAAGTGAGAAAAGGGGATCCAGCCACTGCTTGCTTGATATCCAAGCGTTCCCCCACGGGGCCACCGGCCTTGTGGGGGGAGAGAGGCCATATCAGACTGCCAGTGTTTGGGGGCAACACCCCCCAGCTTTCCCCGGACCCCAAAGGTTTAACAAAGGTGACCTCACCTACCACTGCTTCCCCCAGCCAGAGCCCACAGTGCAGTTTTTTATACTGTTAGGCATTTAAGGAAACCAAACATCTTGAAAGTATTACCATTTATAGAAAAACACATTTACAATTAACTATATAGAAACACCTGGGGATTTATCTCCCAGATGCAGAGGTCATCAATCCCTCGGCATTGGCGCAGGTCAGGGAGTGTGGCCTGAAACGTCTCATTTCTCCCATCCGCAAGCTTCCTCAAGTCCCTACCCTCTGCCCATGCTTCTCTTCCTCACACCCAGCCATCTGCTCAGAGGGCACACCAGCCTTCCCCTACACTGCCAGGAGGGCCAGCGCATGAGGGTCGCTGAGCCAGAAGTGATTCAGCCTCAAGGTCCAGAGCTGCCTCCCAGAGAGCTCCATATGGGGGCCTGGATCAGCCTTCCTTAGAACAAAGGGGCATCTTAAACTCAACCAGAGGGCTCCTGCCTCAGAACGATTCATCACTCACCAGCCGTTCAGAGCAACTGTGCAAATGCCCTCAGAGCCAGGAAGAAAGTTGTCAGTGATCCGACAGGAAAGAGGCAGCATGCCATAGGAGTTAAGCGGGAGGGTGTAGCGTTCAGACGGCCTGGACTGCAGTCCTGGCTTCTCTGCTTACCAGAATGGCCCCGAATCCCCCTAAGTGTCCGTTTTCTCACCTGTGAAAGGGGGATGATAATGGCCAGTCTTCCTGGGTCTTTGTGATGGCGAAGTGAGATAATTCACGTAAAGCACTCAGGGTGCCCCTCATGCAGCAAGTGCTTAATAAGTATCAGCTGGAATTACTGCCAACCAGTTAAAGCACCCTCTTTAAGGGAACCCTCTCCCTGAGAAGTACAGAGCTATGAGATGGAGAACATACACCTGCCAAAACTTCTGTCGTTTCTCAAGAGCAGTAGTTCCAACCATGGCTCCCCCACGCAATAGCCTGCCATCTCCCCAAGATAGACAGATAATTTTGGTTTATGCAACACACTCCCACAAGTGTTCACAGACTATACTCAACAACAACAGAATTGTGCAGAACAGGGCAGTAAAACACAGCCATCCTCCCATCACACCATCAGCTCAAGCAAAGCACCATTCTACAGCTAAAGCACCTTGCTTGGCATTTTCTCTCCTATTCAAAAAAGCACAGCCGGTATCAATTCACCACAACGTACACTTTAAGTATCTTACGATTTTATTGTCAAGTATACTTCAATAAAACTGAAATTTTAAAAAAAGCACATCAGCATGAAGGTGAGTGGGAGAAATGTTAATGCCATTATTGTAATAACTCCAAAATCATTTTACCATATTTTTTGTAAAGCAAATTGTTGACAAGCTTCAGAATGTCATTACTGGTATAGTGAGATTTATCCTATCCAAAAGGCTGAAAGTCAGCACATAATTAAAAATTCCACCCTCGCCTGTTTTGCTCTGTGGTTAGAGCATTGGCCCTTGAACTGAAGGGTCTTGGGTTCAATTCCGGTCAAGGGCACATACCAATCAATGTGTCTCTCACATCCATGTTTCTCTCTCTCTGTCTCTCCCCCTCCCTTCCACTCTCTCTAACAATCAATGGGGAAAAATATTCTTGGGTAAGGATTAACAAAAATTCAATATAGCCAAAATTGTCCCTTCAAAAATCTCTTAAACCACCCAAAAATATGACAACTGTTTTCTTGAAACACAAGACTCATACTCAATGGATCGGGAAGATCACAATATACAGGCATATAGAAACTAAGACACACAAAGTTGGATAAAGTGCTCACTCTCTCTCCCTCTCCCCACTACACTGTTTGGCTATATTCTTGTCAAGTCACATTCTAATCAATTAAATAAGTATATGATGTAATTCCACCACCATAAATTACTGCTATGCACCTCTCAATGGACCCATGCTGAGAAATTAGTCCTCTGGAAGGCTAAGATGGAACTGCTCCTCTGGCTCCCCATGCCCCTTGACCCCCAATTTGGGGAAAAAAGTAAAAGGTGTCCACTTACTTGCTGCCTGGATGCGCGCCTTCCGGCTAACCACCAGCCCAAAGCGGTTCTGAGCCACACACTCATAGTCGCCCTCGTCTGAAGGGCTGTCTCCTTGATCCAGCCGGAAGTGACCGATCATCAAGGACCCATTGGCCAGCATGGTGGAGTGAGGACTCTCCGACAGCTCCACCCCATTCTTCCTCCAGGTGATTCGCACTGGAGGGGTCCCTTCTACCCTGCAGCCCAGCACTATAGGCTGCCCAGGGACTGCTACATCATCGCTTGGCTCCACAGCAAACGCCAGTTCGGCAGAGTGGTCAAGACCTGCAGGGGGCAGGGGAGATGAGAGGAAAAGGAGAGGTCAGCGTGGAATGAGCAGACAGAAAGAAGTTCTCTGGATCTGTACATTTCATCCCCATCTTTCTGTAATGTTAATAGGAATCTCTATTAATATGTAGGACTTTATGCATTATGAAGTGTCGTTTCATGCAGTAATTTAATCAACACACAATCTCAGAAAGCTTGATCTTATTTACTCTATTTCCTCTTTTACAAGGAAGCTGGAGCCAGAGATATTAAGCAACTTGCCCAGGGTCTCACAGTTAATAGTTGCAGATTTGGGATCCCAAAGCAAGACTGATTCCAACACAGCTGCTGCCACTTCTGTGGTCAGCATGTGTAAGCACGAAGCTTCACAGACTTTCAGAGTGTGACCTTGGGTAAGGTAGTCAACCTGTCCTGGTTTCCCATTCTTCATCTGTTTAAGTCAGGAACAACAATAATACAACTTGAGTTACAAGGTTACTGAATATGATTAGAAGACTTAAAGGTACTATGAAAAGTTAAAAGTTCTAGACACAGCCCTAGCCAGTTTGGCTCAGTGGATAGAGCGTCGGCCTGCGGACCCAAGGGTCCCAGGTTCGATTCCGGTCAAGGGCACATGCCCCGGTTGCGAGCTCCATCCAACGTGCAGGAGACAGCCAATCAATGATTTCTTCTCATCACTGATGTTTCTATCTCTCTCTTCCTCTCTGAAATAAATATATTTTTAAAAAACACACAAATTTCTAGACACATATAAAGTGAGACAGAAATAAACCATTGCTTCTTTTTTCTGGCAAAACCACCTGAGGTCTGATGGATGCCTGGCAGGGAGCAGAATGTGTGGGCCCAGTACCTAGAATGCACTGGGTATTGTTTTTTGTTGTTGGTTTGTTTTGTTTTTGGTTGTTGTGCTTTTGTCATAAGGAGAGAAGAGGAGCACCAAATGTCAACTCAGATTTCCCAAAATTCTGGAAGAGAAAGTTCCTAGAACCTTTACTCCCAGCAACAGATCCACTCCTGCAGAGAAGAGAGGAGAGCTGGAAGAAGAGGGGGAAGGAGTGTAGGGCAAGAGCATGATGGGGAAATCAGGAAAAGCCTTACAGGAAAGACAAGCGCTCCGATCCCAGGCATGATGCCAAGTCGCCAACTTCTCCAACAAGCAACTCACCAGACCAGTTACAACTTCAGTCCAGGAGAGATGGACCCACCTACGCTGAAAGGGCAGCCCAGACCCCTCCTCACATTTCCAGAAAACTAGCGATCCCAGAGCTGCCCCTCCCCAACAGACCAGCGTCCGCCCGGCAGGGGGAGATGGGGAAGTTGGTGGAGAAAAAGGAGGGGGCAGGGGGCTGGGGTTACGGACGGTCCCCCCACCCTCAGGGATATGAAATGTTTTAAGACATTTGGGGATCATTTCTCTTCAAACCACTACCCATCTTTCCCATGACCTGCAGTCCCCAACCCAACCTCGGTATAGCAACGGGGGATAAAGTTTCTCCTGGATGCGGACGCGATAGCCTGCTTCTCGGAGCTGAGAGGAGAGAACACGCCCAGATGCCCAGATGAAGGTCTGCCGAGAACTTGGGGTGGGAGAGGAAGGGACTAGATTTGCACCCATTCCAGCCACTGCGAGAACAGGGTGGCGAGCCGGACCCCGGAGCCTGGGGACGCGGCGGCTGGGCGTGCGCACACTCCGGGGAAGGGCGGGCACGTGGGCATCCCCGCGCTCGCTCGCTCGCACGCTCCGGTCGGCTTCTCGTCCCTTCCTCAGCTCGCCGGGTGTCTCTCCGGCCTCCCCATCCCCACGCGCGGCCGCCGGGAACCTTCCTCCCTCTCTTCCTCGGCCTCTCCCCGCGCACTCCGCGTCCCGGTCCAACCTCCAAATCCAAGACGCGTCCTTTCTGCCCGGGGCAGCCCGCTGGTTCCCAGCCTCCGCCCACCCCTAGCCCCCAGGTCTGCGGTCTCCAGCCCCGGCCGCCTCCGGCTACTCCGCGCCCGCCCGCCCGCCCGCCGGGCTCCGCGCACCCTCGCTCGCCCTCTCGGAGGGACTCAGTCCTGGGTGCCCCCTGGCCGTTTCCCCAGTCCCAACTCCAGTCCGCCGCCTAGCGCACCTTCTGCCTCACGCCTGGCCCTCGTCCGGGTCGGGTTCTGCCCGGGGCTCGGTCTCAGCATCCCCAGCAGCTCGGCCTC